ATGTTCAACATTTGGGAGGAAATCTTAATATTTTTTCTTTTTTAAAAATAATTTTATTTTATGTATTTGGTTTTTATTTCTGCGTGCATTGATTTGTGCTTTGTATTAACTATGGTTTCTTTACTTAGTTGTTCAGCCATGTTGATATTTATAATAGTCAAGTGGGAGGGAGGCTGGGAGATGGTATAATTTAAAATAAATTCTCTCTTTGCCTTTCCTTCTCTGCCCTCTTTTCAGATACAGTTTCACATACTTTCTCCCTCTATGTTGGTTTTAGCCTTATTTTTCTTCTCATTTTACTCCTCACATAGTCTTTGAGTGATTGTGGCCACTCCATGAACTAAACACATTCAAATTTATCTTGAGACTTCAATCTACTCCCTTGTGTTCTAGACTAGTATACCCAAATACTTATATTTTAAATGTCCAAGGGGATAAAAATATGAACACACCCAAAACAGAACTCAACTTTATTTCTCAATTCCTTCTTTCTTCTTTTTTTTTCATCCTATAATCTCTATTCTAGAGATTATGATACTGTCATCCACCTTTTGACTCAAATTGAATACAAAAGTGTCAGCCAAGATTCTTCTATCTTGTTCATTTTATCAGACACAAACCTTCCAACTCTACCTCTTAAATAGCTTTCGTGTTTTTCTTTTTTTTCTCCATCTTCACTGCCACAGCTTCCAAAGGCGAGTCTCCAAATTAGTATAGTTTGTTCTAATCTTGCTCCTCTTCACTAAATCTTCTCACTTCTGTTACTGCCACCATTCTTAACTTAAAATTTTTACTGTTCCTTATTTTCTGCATGATGAAATTCAAACCACTGTGCATTGTTTCTAAGATACATTACCTTCTCTCATTTACCTTTAAAGCTCATTTCCTTCTACTTTCCCCCCTCTCACACCAAATTCAGTCACACTGGATTTCTTCAAACTATCCATTTCAAATTCTTCAAACAATCCATTCTGGTTTTTTAGCCACATGCTCTTTACACATAATATTCCTTTTGCTTGGAATGCTCATCTTCTATAATCTTTGCCTGCATCACTCCTATATCTCCTTTACTTCTGTGTTCAAACATAACTTATCCCGAAAGCTCTCCCTTACCTCCCTTATCTGCATATTCTATAGGAACTTCTGTTCTTTTTCTAGCATCATAAGAATGATTTATTTCATTTTAATTGTTTGTTTAACCTCAAACCCCACTAGAATATAAACTCTTTGAAGGAAGGTTTCTTGTCATCCTTACCATTGAAACCTCAACATCTAGTACACTGAACATCTGGTACCTAATAGCTATTGCTTTCAATAAATTCTTGTTGAACAGATGAGTGAAAATTTTTTCATATCTGTGTACTTTTACACACGTGATTTCTTCTGTCTTCAATGTCTTCCTTTGTCTTGTTTGATCAGTGAATTCCTACCTTTATTTTGACAATGCATAAACATCCCATAGAACTAGTTTCTATAATACACACTCTGAAATGCTGTCACCCAGTTCTCTTCTTGACACAATAAGACAACTTTAAAAATTAGAGAAACAAAATGGCTTAATGAAGGTCAGACAGGTGGCTTTAATGGTGAACCAGAATGCAAGAGTATTTTCTAATTTCCATAATTTTTTAGTCATTGATAACTTGGTTTCATTTGTTAAAGGCTTGCCATTTTTAATGGCATCAAATCACCTTTTCATTTTACTATTTGCTAACAAAAGACACATGGTGTCATCAATTTCTGGTTCCTCCAATAACAAAAGAAAAGTAGGATAGTAAGAGATGAGTATGCATATGCCATTGATAATGAGATATTTGAGAACATTAATAAAAGCATGAGGTGGGCTTCACTGTCTTGAGTAAATTTTTCCACAGTAATAAAATGATCAGTGCTACACATCATCAGAGTTGGGAGTCTCTCCTTGGGAATTTGGTGTTTATTTTAACCAACACTTTAAAAAAAATTTTGTGGCTCCTCCCTAAAGATGTAAAATTTCACCATTTATTAAGTTTTCTTGGCTGAGTTGAAGATTATAGCATTCACATTCTCACATGCAAAATATTTCCTAATCGTAGCAAACATTTCACATCTGCTCTGGGTAACTAGCCAAAAACCAAGAAATAGAAGCATTCTTAGAGGACCTTTGTTGATCCCCAGCCAGTCTCCTTGACATTGGAGAACTAGAGTGAAAGGGACTCCTCCCCCACCCTCTTTCTTTCCCCAAGTATTCCTTTCTTCGGTTACTTGATGACACCTTCTGCTTGGAGAGCACACCCCTCTATGCTAATATTTAGGAACTAAGCCAGAGTTCCAGTTGTGTTTTTAGTTCTGTCTACTCTTTCCACACCCATTGGAAAGCCAAGAACAGATCTGTGTGGCTTCCAACTGCTTCTTGGCTACACTGGTCTCACTTTTACCACATGGAAATTCTTCACCCAATGTAATCAAACTTAACTCCAACACTTAATAAACACTCAAGTGGTGATTTACAAAGATCCAACTAATAGCATATTCATTTTATCTTTTTGCTCTAATTTATTGGTGGTATTTTCTATAGTAATCTCAGCTTCATGGTTTCATTCTATTGTGATTTTGGCTAACCAGTCTGGGCAAATGAGAAGAGACTCTTGTTTGTCTCTGGAGTAAAGAGGAATGAAGTTGTCCAAAGATTATTCATATTGGAAATGACTTTGTGTGCTTTCATTATGATCCAATTTCCTCTATTGGAAGCTGAAGTTCAGCTAGTAATGAATGTCATAGATGGTGGATGATTTTCATCACTGTCACCTGATTTCCAGGCATAGCTCTGAGTGGCAAAGTGAGAACATTGCTGATACAATTTTAGATAGAGATGAAGCATTAGCACAAAAGGGAAGATTTAAAACAAAACACATTTAGTGGCAAGTGACAGAAAATCTAACATAGATTGGCTGAAAACCTAACTGAGAAGGAAGCAGAAGAGAAGATGCACTGTAGAATTGAAAAGATGAGTAGTTTTGCTTCAGGCACTGCTGGCTCTAAGGACTGACACAATGTTGTCGTCAGTGGTTGTCTTCCATTGTCCCTCTGTTTCCTCCATTTTTAAGCAGACTGTTTCTCCATAGTGGGTGGGAAAATGGCCTTCAGTATGTTCACTGTACATTTTATCCCTCTAATAACTTCAGTAGAAAAGGGAGTGCTTCTTAAAGAGTTTTCAAGCTAAAGTGGCGAGGTTAACTCTGACTGCACTGACTGTAGTTACATGCTTTTCCTGAACCAATAATAGTGACTATGTATAGAAGATGCTGATTGGCAAGGCCTAGGTTATATGCCTTTGAATAACATGGAATGTGAATAAGATTGAGATGGTTTCACACAGGATTATCAGAACTTGTTATCATAAGAAGAAGAAATATACTTGGAAGAGTAAGATAACTTATCCCCACTAAGTTCTCATAACTGGCTCTATTGAGAACAAAAATTCTAGGAAAGAAAATAAGTATAAAAATATCCCAAGAGGAAGACTTTATGTCCTTTTATACAGCTGTCAAAGCTGAAGACAAACCTGATAGCCAAATACCATAGCAGACCCAGAAACCCCTGGTAGGCTCTATTTTCCAGAAGGTAGTCATTGCTGAGAAATAGGATTACTGTGCTCACAGGTAGACTTTTGGGGAGTGTAGTCATGTCAGTGGGCATATCCTATAAATAAAAAGCTAATATACAAATAGACCAAACAGTGGAACAACCGGTTGCTATGATGTTCACTGACCACCAGGGGGCAGTTGCTCAATGCTGAAGCTGTCCCCAGGTGGTCAGTGTGCTCCCACAGAGGGAGCACTGCTCAGCCAGAAGCAGTGCTCATGGCTGGTGAGTGCAGCAGCAGTGGCGGGAGCCTCTGCTGCTTCCGTGGCAGATGGACTTCCCTCTGGGGTCCCAGACTGATAGGGTGCAGGCCGGGCTAAGGGACCTCTTACCCCTTACCCCAGTCCATGAATGTTGGGCATGGGCCTCTAACACGCTCTCTCTCTCTCTCTCTCTCTCTCTCTCTCTCTCTCTCTCTCTCTGGTATCACGTATGAGAGCAAAGCAGAATAATGACCTGTTTATTTCTAAAGAAAACCACCTTTATTTCCTCTATTTTTAGTTGTACAAATGGTACACCTGGGGATTTCCAAGGGGATATGGTGAGAGCCAAATGACTATTAATGTGTTTCCTGAGACTCTGCCTGCCTTTGCCTAGGACATCCGGAAATTGCATCCTCTTTCCCCTTGACAGGGAAGAAAAGGTGGGGGGAGGGGCAAGGTCTAGCAGTGTGATACTTTGGAGGAAAGAGTGTATTTCCTCTCTTCTACACTCTCTAGTCTTTGTGCAAGTGGTAAAAATGGATAAAATGGATTGAGAGTAAAACAGTGAGGGGCCTCAGGAGACTACTATTCAGCCTGAATGCGGAGAATGTGTTTGGAGGTCATGCTGGTTAGGTCTATAATGGGTACTCAACTCTGCTCCAGTGATGAACTACGTGTCTTGGGCATTTTAGCCACAGTTGGAAATGCAGCCTTTTCTCTGCTTTTTTGTTCTCGTCCAGACTCCTTGCTTCTGGAGCTTGGAACATTTTTTTTTTTTTTCCATCTTTGCACTCAAGAGCAAACATTCTCCCAGGTAGCTGGAAGAGGTTTCTTTTCTTGAATGGTAGCTGCTCTGAATATAAGTAAATTTGTTTGTAATAGAAGAAGGATACCCCAATGCTCTTAAGGCTGTAGTGGACCTAAGGAAAGCATGAAGCCACATGTGTTGAAATGGATTCTGTCATTATGGAAACTTTTCCCTATAAGCAGGGACCCTGCACATAGGCAGCACTTGACCTCAGAGGCTGTACAAAGATGAGGATGTTCCTTCACTTACTGGTCCTCAGGTAGAATGAGGAACCACTGTACCTCCACCATCAAGCCTTGCCCTTTCCTCTGCTGCTTCCTTTGGCTGGGCCCAGGCCTATTCCTAACAGCTTCCTTTTTCCATGTCTTCTCTGTCATCTTCCCTCAGGCTTTCTCTGCAGTCTGCCAATCCAACTGGCTCCTTTGCTGACCACTCTTCAATAATTTATCTTTGAAGACATTCAACTCCATGTCGCCACTAAGGTAAGGAGTTTGGAGGATAATGGAGGCTCAGAGCAAGCTTCAGATTAGGGGAAAATGATTACTTCTTCTTAAGCTTTAGAGACACTTAACTTCACACTAATTTACTCTTTTTTTAAAGTAAGGTATTTCTTTTAAAACCAGGGATGGGGAACCTTTTTATCTGCCAAGGGCCATTTGGATATTTATAATATAATTTGCGGGCCATCCAAAATTATCAACTTAATGAGCCTGCTATATTGGTCAGATATTTAATTAACTCACCCCTATTGCCTTGGCAGATCCAGACCAAATGATTTCTTAGGCCTTATACTGCCCTTGGGCCAGATATTCCCCTTTAAACGAATAACAGAATTTTGCATTCTGTACCTAATAAGTAATAACCATACATGTAGCAATAAAATTCATATAGCAGTTTCCAATTAATTTTTATGTTCTTATCTTTTTTACTTTCAAGTGATTATTTTCATTTTATAGACAGGGAAACATTCAAAAAAGGTATGTCTTGTCAAAGACACACAGCTAGTAAATGGTCTTCCCACATAAAACAAACACTTCTGATTATTAGCAATAAGCAGGAGAGAATTACCAATAAAATGATCATTTCTTTAACTAAAAAAGTTAGTGACTTTGCTTGAATTGGAATCTATAAAGTTTGTTAATTTTGTCTTTTAAACATGCCCCATAGTTTGAGTCCCCAGATTCTTTGTCTGCTAGTCCATATTCTGTATTGTTCTACCTGGATTCTGAATATAAATAACAACTCTCATATGGTAGCCAGAACAGAACTCCCTTACTGCACCCTCCATGTTGTGTTCAGTGGCTCCTGGCTTTACTTAAGATCCTTTCATCCACCTGCCAAACATCTACTTGTCCTCATTTATTTTCAGTGCACAAACCTATTCCTGATTGAGCCAGTGAATAGCTAAAATTGCTTACAAATATGCTTTCTATTTGGGCACCAGCACTGTCTTTCAGTGTTTGTTCATTTTGTCATTCGATTCAGGGACTGCCAACTAAGAAATTTATTTCTATTTTTATTCTATATTTGTCCTCATGGCAGGAAATTGTATTCAGTAACACTGTCGTACTTTTAAAACTCTAAATTAGAAATTTCTTTTCTTTTCTTATGCAGTGTACAAGTAATTTATGCTTGACTCTAAGTCAACATATCATTTGATTTACCTCCCTACTTGCTGTATCTAGAGTTACTGGAGAAATGTGAGCCATGCCATGTATAGGAAACATTTTACCTGTTATTCAAAATTCAAAAGCTGGGGGAAAATCACTGAAACTTTGCAAAGTTTACTGTGTTTTCCCCCAGGTACAAAGCTTTCTAGTTTTCCAAATTTGAAGATAAATGGAGTTTCATGGTTTGCCAATACTTGGAGACAAACAAATGATTATCAAATAAGGTAGAGGGCTTGGTTCAGCAGGTAAACACCTGAAAAGGAATCTCATGCTCCAGGCAATGTTTACATATCTGCATGGAATTCATGGGCAGTCCCGCCAGAACTGAAATACTTAAACCATTTGCTTGTGATATTTCACAATTTATTCAGTGCTTTGCCAAAAGTGAAAACCGAGACAACTATTAGAAAATCAACGTGATGATTTGAGGAGACCTGGAAGTAAATGTGTTTGAGAGGCAGAGACAAATTATGTAATGTGGTTAGATTGGCTATAAAATAAGGGTGCCTGTACCTCAGAGTGAAGTAATTATAAACTATTCTTTGATTGTACTGTTGCTAAACAAAATTGAAGAGTTATGTATGAAATGAAGCAGATGAAAATATAAGTAAATTTCAAGCGGTAAAATAATTCTATTTTTTAAAATATATTTTATTGATTTTGTACAGAGAGGAAGGAAGAGAGATAGAGAGTTAGATACATTGATGAGAGAGAGTCATCAATCAGCTGCCTCTTGCACACCCCCTACTTGGGATATGCCAGCAACCAAGGTACATGCCCTTGAACGGAATCGAACCCGGGACCTTTCAGTCCCCAAGCCGACGCTCTATTCATTGAGCCAAACCAGTTTCGGCAATTCTATTTTTTTTAAGATGAGATTATTTCTAATGAAATATACAGTAGCAACTTCATGGCTTAACTCATTTAAAACTTGCTGTCTGGAAAAAAAGGATAAGGAATAACATAACACTTTGTGTGTGTGTGATGAGCATATAGCTATGTGGTTCTATGTTGTTTATGATCAAGTATTTACAAAACAAAGCAAAAAAAAAGTGCATTAATTCACAGTTGGAGAATGAGTTAACTTTTGGGAGGCCAATATTATAGAAACAGAGACATCCATTAAACCTTGTGCAGGAGCGGACAATGCCAAGAATGACTTGAGTTTATTGAGGATTATCTGGAGTTCCCTAAATAACATTGTCCTTACAGCAATCCTATTTGTGAATGTATTGCCAAATAAAATGAAATCCTTTCCTAGAACAAAACTCTATATTCCCATATATTTCTGTATTCACAATAGTCAAAGTATTTGGTTAAAAAAAAAATTAAGTTCTAGAATAAAGAAGAAGATGTAATACACACACACACACACACACACACACACACACACACACACAATATGTATATGGAATATTATTCAGGCTTATAAAAGAAGAAAATCCTGTTATCTGGTACAACATCAATTAACTTGAGGAGCATTATGCTAAGTGAAGTAAGTCAGACACAGAAAGGAAAATATTGTGTGATATCACTTATATGTGGAATCTAAGAAAATATAATGTGAGAAACAGAAAGTAGAGTGGTGGTTACCAGGATCTGGGGTGCACAAAAGAAAGAGAGAGGCTGGTAAAAGGGTTCAAATTTTCAGCTATAAGATGAATTAAGATATGAGGTGCTAATCTAGAACATGGCATCTATATAGTTGATGACACTATATAATTAAAATTTGCTAAAAGAGAACAACTTAAATGTTCTCCCTAAATAATTAAATACGTAAATGGTAAACATGTGAGGTGGAGGTGGGTTAATTATATAAATACATGGGGGAATCCTTTAAAATGTATTCATATATCAGCTCATCAATTTGTACACTTTAAATACCTTACAAATTTGTCAATGTACCTCAATAAAGCTGAAAAAAATATTCTTTTTATCTATGTATAAGCCAGTTGGACCTGGGAGGAAATGAAGGCAGACATTCTTTTGTGTATCAAAAAGCATGTGATTCAAAAGAAAAAGGGGTGGGAGGAGGGAGAGAGGGAGGAAGAAAGAAAGAGAGAAAGAAACAAAAGGAAATGGTTACTATTATTTTATCTTTTACTGTTTATACTTTCACCTCCTTCACTTTTATTTTGATTTGCTCCTTTTCATTCAAGACTACGAATCCATATACAGTAACAGGTATGGGAAGCATGTGTATTAGAAACATATCCCTATAGGCTTTTCTGAAAAGCAAGCCACTTTATTTCTGTAAATAATTAAATGAGTGAGTGAATGAACAAATGCAACATTTCCTAGGGAAAAATACACTGCATTCATTCCAGTATTTTCTGACAATGCTCAATTTTCCCAGAGGAAAAATAGAAACTCTCATTATAGAAACCCTACATCTGGGCTCCGGATCTCGTATCGTCAGTTAAGTTTCTTCCCTTATATTCAGTGTGTCAGCCTAGAGCTGGCAACCTTATCTTTGTGCTTCCATTGCCATGAAACCCACACTGGGGTTGTGTAGCAGTCCTTGCCCAGTTGGTTGCAGTGCCAGTGAGGGCCGAGGGTAGGACATTTTCCTACATTCTCCCTCTCTCCTTAGCTGACGCCAGTGAGATCTGAACTGGGGGATAGAAAAACATTCTGAGGACATTTTGGTAATTATGATTTAGTCCCAAGGTACAGGGAGACACATCCTTAATATGAATTATTAACATGTTTGAATTGTTGGAGGATACCAAGGTGCTTCCAAACACATAGTTTTAAAGAGATACAAAGCACTTATCTTCTTTATGAAAAGTGATTCTCACTAATGCCTAAATTTTCTGGGAAGGAACATAACTCATATTTACTTATGCATACTGATTTTATTCTCTGATTCAGTTTGACCTGGGTGTTTTCTTGTAATCCCAAAGGAACCCTCTTGCTATAGGTGATGGTGCATCCATCTCTTCCAGTTGGAAAATGCTGTGATTCAGTGAGGAGATAGTCCATCCCTTTGGCCTAACATTTAAGTTGTGTGCTTGGAAACATGCAGGCCTGTAGATTCTAAGCAGTGGTGGGGAGTGTTAAAGAGTATGGCCCATGAAGTTATATTGGCTAGTTCAAATCCTGGTTCTGCCTCTTTTCTGCTATGCCACTACAGATATGTTCTTTGATCTTTCTATGCCTTAATTTTCTGTTTGTAAAATAAAGGAAATATCACTATATTCCTGGCAAAATTGCTGTGAGGCTTAAAGGGGCAGGCTCATTAACTCTATGAACTCCTTTGGAATATGTGGAAGCCCAAGGGTATGCATGGGGCAAGTCTAAGATATTCCTAGAACAAAGTCAGGGAAATACCCCTTAGCCCCTTCCCCAAAGCCTGTCTTTGACTGTTCCTATTAAAGCAAGTTCATTGGCCTCCCAGATAAAGCCAAGGAGGCTCTGCTGACTCTTCATGGGTAAAGGTCAGCCAGTTGACCTAAAAAGCCCACAAATAGCTGGTAAAATTTCCATTGTTCTCATTAATATTGTCCTTATTGATGAACAGAAGTGAGACACAGAATGATGAAACAAAGAAGCAACAGATGCTACAATTGTATATAATTATTTCATTTAAAAAATCATGGAATATAGATATCCTAATATCAAAGCATTTGTCTGTTTCTATAATATACCAGGGGCATATCTTCTAAACGGAGTCTACCCGTACCAGTAACTATAAACAGTGGAAGCTTTGAGCAGACATCTTGCCAAAATGACCATCTATCATGTATACCACAATGTCTTTGCTAACTCTACAAGTCTTTAAAAAATATATTCACTACTCTTTATTTCCATTAACTTATTAATTAGGGCACTTTAACCCAAGAATTATAGTGTTTACTTTTGGAACTAGAAGAGAGAAAGTTATGTTATCTACAGTATAATTTATGACAAATAATGTAAAATAACTTCTATTAAAAATAGCATAAATAGCATTTGCCAATACTCTAGGTTTAGAAAGCCATTGAGCCTCTTTGCAAATGTGTGTAACCTCATAAAATCTATTGCCATCTATGAGGTGCATTTTCTAGCTAATATGTCCTAAAATCCTAAAATATCATTGAGTAAAATTAGACATTATTTAGTCGTACTCCCATTTGATGATTAAATTTCAAACCTGATACTTTTAGTTGATTGACATACTTTCTGCTCTTCTTTAAAAATAAACCTTTTTTTTCCAAGCTCCTTTAAATCACGTTCTTCCCATATTTACTAAAAGCAGTAATGAAGTCAAAGGTCACTGTTCTGGGCAGATGCCCGTGGATATCAGATTCCTAGGAAGATCAAGATACAGCATTGGGGCCTGAATTCCTTGGGAGCGAACATATTCATTTTCAGATCCTTCAGTCTCAGGAACTCAAACAAAATCTTCTTCCAAAGGCATTTTAAAATTAAAAATTTTTTTTTTTTTTGCTTGTAGTCATCTTGAGTAATCCTTGTTATATAGCAGGCCATTTTCCATGCTTCTCTTTCTTCCAGCCTTGCTTACCTCGTCTTGTGGTTTGGGAATACACTATATTACATGATGATTCTTTTCATATTCTTTGGGAGGCTGGTAGGTCTCTATAGAATTCTGAGAGTTGGGCAGAGCAAATATTTTAAAAGCAAATAACCATTACAACCTCATTTCTTCAGGATGGAAAGTGTTCTTATCCAGATGGATATAGGACACCTGAGAAGTCACTCTCTGTGCTCCTGTTAAAGTACACTTTGGGAATCCTTCAGATTTGATTCTGTAGCTGAGTTTCTTTATTTCTTAGATGCCATGCCTGACCTTGGACTTTACCCTTTTGGCTCTCAGTTTTCCCTTCTGGAAAACGGGGACCAGAATGCCTAGTTCAGTGGTTGCTGTGAAAGTCTATTGAGCTGATATAAAATATTCAGTGGTTTTGCTATATATATCTGTCACATAGTAGGCATTCTGTATCCTCAGTGCCTTTAGAGTGAGGTCATTTTAGAAGTCTTAAGAAATCACACAATGAATTTTATGATATTTGCCTTGCTTGGACACAAAATGAAAAACAGAAAGGCCTCCTCACCCTATGGGCGGAGTATCACTCGCTACATTCTGATTCTTTTTAATAAGAAAAGGGCGTCTTGAATGGGGTGGGAAAGACAAGCCCACATGGCAGAAAGTCACAGGACACAAGATACACTTTATTACATGGAATGTTTCTGTACCACAGATGTGGTCATCAGCAGAGATAACTAGTTTACAAGCCCTCCCTGGAAACTCCTCACCATTCTTAACAAAAAAAAAAGTGATCCTCAGCCAAGCTCTGCACTGAAGCTCAGCCCATGATGAAAACACTCCCAAGTGTTCCACATTGAAAATAAGTGGGAAGGAGAAATGATGAGCAGTGCATTTCCAGCCAAGAAGCAAGACCAGGGTCACCTAAGAGGCTAAAAACCTATTAAAACAATATCTATTGTGATTTTATCTCTTTGTATGTCTGTCTGTCTTTCCCTCCTTCCCCCTCTCCCTCCCTCTCTTCTCTCTTCCTTTCCACCCTCCTTTTTTTCTTTTTCTTTTTTTTAATTTCCTTTCCTTATTTTCTTACTTTATTTTACTTTAATTTCCTTTTCTTCTTTCTTCTCTTTTTTCCTAATGGAAAAATATAACTTTGTGTCAAGGAAACACTGTGTGTCTCTATTTGGTATTGGACATGTTGACATGATGAGGAGACATTCATTCAAATTATGAACTTTGTAATTATTCATTTTATTGGTGATATGTGATTAACTTGATACTATAAATGTCTAAGGCAGCATTTTAGCATAATGCATATAGATCATGTTTAGGAACCAGAAAAATATCTGTAAACCCTGGTCTCTTAGTCATTTCAGTTATGTAGCCTTCCCAAATAAGGTATTCCTGAGTGTTAAATGAAACAAATATATGAAAACAGTTTATAGGTAATACATATAAACTATGGCTTGATCTGGTCTGCATCTCAGATGCAGAGCCTGTGAAAGGGGTTCAGCTGGAAGTGATTTATTAGAGAAGGGTTCTCGGGAGAGAGGGGGTGAGGGGTGAAAGGAAGCTAATGAAGTAGGAGAAGGAGCTAAGCCAAGATATGGTTCCTACTGTACTGTGGTTTTAGCTTGATTCATTTCAGGCTCTGGAGTGTTAATTACACCATGGAGTTATTCCAAATTAGATGTGACTGGCTGGCCTTTTGTTTTCTTCATGTCAGCCAGTCATTGGCAGGGGTCTGTTTCTGGGGTGGGAGTGGAATGTGACTTCCTGGACTGCCATTTTTGCCAATGGGAATTCTCTGAAAAGGGGGCAATTATGAACTATTAGCAGCCAACACATGGGGGTAGGCATACCAACACTGGTTTCTTGGGAGTAGGTATACCAATCTGGTAAAGGGTATTGACTGGAACACCAATAGTATCCACTATACAGCTTAATACATAGTTGCTAAATTACTATAATTCTTAATGAGAATAGCTTAAGGAGGAAAATCAAAGTCAAAGATGGTTTATTGTAGCCATGAAAGAGTCTGGAGCTTGCTTGAATGCTGGTGGGAATGGTATAGGAGAGAGGAGAGAGAGCTTATAGAAATCTATGACAAATATTTTTTTTCCTGCTGTTGTTGGTTAAAATATGAAAGGAAAAGAAGGAAACAAAGAAAAACACAATCAGGCTGGCATTATAAAACTTAGGAGTTTGTAAGTGTGATAAAGACACAAAAGTTCCCTCCTTAAAATAATAAAACAAGCTCTGTTGCTGGACTTTTGCATGTTTAGGAATTCCCAGCATCTCTAGAATCCACTTAACCACTCCATGACACATTTTCCCCTCCAGATGTGAACACTAAAGAGTCAGTTGTCAGTTGAATACTCTTGTATTATTTTCTCAGCAATTATTTTAAGGAATGCATTTGAATAAAATGCACTTTTGGCATCATTTTCAAGAATGGATGATGATTTATGCTTCTCTTGCAGGGACAAGATGGCTCTGGGCATGAGTCATGGCTGTAAGGCTGGGAAGATTCCGATGGGAACCTTGCTCTTGCTGGTTGATTCATACCTTACATGGACTTGAGGCTGAGCATGGCTTTTATTAACATGTACATTTTGCTTGTTAAGGTTCAAGCTTCATCTTTCCTCACCAATTCCAGCCCTGTTTGTATTTCAGACGCACCTGACTCAGAATCTGTGTTTGGGACTTAGAGTGGCTTGGGAATAGCAATTTAAAAAATCTCTGATTATTTGTTAACTAAGATGAGATGATGAGTTCTCAGCTGCAGTTGGGAAATGGGCTATTTCTCTGCAGATTCAAATGGCAGGCAAAATTATAATTTATTCAGTATCTCTGTCTCCGTGGGACGTATTTGGTGCAAATCAAACTGTCCATATACTGAAAAAGCTACAAACCATAGCCCCAATTTGCGCTTTTCTCCATTGCAGAAAGCATTGCTTTGCATGCATGCTTCAGACGTAATTTTCCCAGTGAAAACTCCCTGCATTGAGCAGCTGTTCCTTGGAAACAATACCAAAGGCTCTCAGGAGCCAAGGTGAATGAACTGTAAGACTGATTCTTGAAACTTTCCAGGTTACAACCATCTCTGTCATTGTCCTTGGCCTTGGTCCTCAAAATGTGTTCTCTAGCCTTGTTTCTCAGACTTTAATGTGCATACATATCTCTTGAGGATTTTGTAAAACTTCAGACTGTGTTTTAGTAGTTCTGGGGTGAGGGCTAGAGATACTGCATTTCTGACAAGCTCCTGGGGGAAGCTTACAAAGATCCCCATTGATTTATGAATCCTACTTTGAGTAGCAGGGCTATACAGTGGTCGATCTTTTAAGAAGATTCTCTGGTCCAATAAGTTCAAGAGAAATGTTTAAAACCTTTCATTTTTATCTTCCTGTTCAAAACTCTACACATCAGTAAATTAAAGAATCTGAGAAGATCTACTCTGAGGAAGTCAGATACAAAACAGATAGACAATAGGAACTTATTTTAGTATGTTATCTCTTAACAGCCTAGGGGATTTGATTTTTGTGAAAAGAAAAGATGGCCAGAAGTATGGTGTTGCTTCAAATATTTGTCCAGGCCTTTAAATGGATTGAGGGAGACATTTAGAAATGTTTGGCTCTCTTTGAGATGACCCTGTAACCCTTCTCAGGTGTTACTGATTCTCCAAATGAGTGAGGCTTAACTCAGGCTCTCAATATCCCCAGTAGAACAATCAACTTTCCTCCTAGAGTTTTGGTATTCAAGATGCATAGTGCTCCTTTCAATCAGTTCTAAAAATGGTTAGGAGTTTAGGTGCTACCATGCTTTATGAAAAGGCCAGCTGAGAAAAGTGATATATAGGAAAGTTAGGTAGGGGAATTTCAAACCCTCCAACTATCTGAAAATATTTGCAAACTTCAGTGTACCTATGTATCAATCCTCTAATAGGGGTGTCGAACTCAATCAGAGAAGGGGCCAAAATCTAAAATCCAGCCTAAATCGCGGGCCGAATGGTTTACTGAACAGTCATAAACTGTCATTGTGATGGAAACGCAGCGGAGTGCAGTGATGACAGCGTGGTGCGGGCCACATTGCAAGGCCTGGCGGGACGGATTTGGCCCGCGGGCCTTGTGTTTGACACATGTGCTAAGTTCCCATGGAGGTTTTTGAGTTTCTGTTCCAGAAACAATTCTTTAGTTCATCACCACCAAACCAGTATTCCATGAAATGTTGAAGGGTATTCTTTAAGAGAAAAAGAAGGAAGAGGAAGTGGAGGAGGAGGAGGAGGAAGAGAAAGAGGAGGAGATAAAAATATAAACAATACAATGGCAATAAATGCATATCTATCCACAATTAAATCTAAAAGTCAAAAGTCTAATGAATAAAATAAACTGATGAATAAAATAGAACCAGAGGCATGGAAACATGGAATAGAATGATGAATCTCAGAGGGAAAGGGTTGCGAAAGATCAACCAAAGATCTTATATGCATATATGCATTACCTAAGGACACAGACAATAGGGTGGTGAAGGCCTGGGGCAGGGGTGAAACTGGGTGGAGGGGGGCAATGGAGGGAAAAGGGACATCTGTAATACTCTCAACAACAAGTATTTATAAAAACAATCACCCTTTGAGTAATGGGTGTATTTTAAATATCTTCATATTAATAAGCATTTCCAGGGTTTTCTTATGCAGATACTCTGAGGACCACAGTTTGAGATGAAGTTCTGTTTCCTTAGAGTTTAAGCACAAGCAACCTGGTCCAAAACAAGCTTCCTTGTTTTGGCTCTCTGAATATTTAACTTTGTAAGTCAAGTTCTGCCCTGGATTTTTATGGAGGATATATATAACTGCATGGGAAAACATTAGCATTTTCTCTAAAATTGTTATTGAAGATATTGTCATCATGTTAGACTGGCAGAAAAGTCTCAGCAGAAGGGTACAACCTTGCTTCTGCAGTTTGGGGTATAGGTTCAGTAGACCAAAATATTTCTTGATATGTTTTATTATAAAATAAATTAAAAATTTGCTTATATTTCATAAAACATGTGTTAGCATTAATATAAATGTGTAAACGTGTGACTTTTACCCAAAGTTAAGCTAATGCTCTAAGGTCTTTCTGCCTTTTGGTATACTCTAGGGCAGTGGCTCTCAACTTTTCTAATGCCGTGACCCTTTAATACAGTTCCTCATGTTGTGGTGACCCCAACCATACAATTATTTTTGTTGCTACTTCATAACTGTAATTTTGCTACTGTTATGAATCATAATGTAAATATCTCTGTTTTCTGATGGTCTTAGGTGACCCTGCTAGTGGTTCTCAACCCAGACTGCACGTGCAGCAGGCTCTGGTGGGTGGGTGGGGACTTGTGGTTGCGCAGACTGGGATGGGGGAGACATGGCCGGCACTCACACTCATCCACAACTGTACACACGCACAGACACACACAGCTCCCACCAGCTCACAGCATTTTCTCCCTTTCTTTCCCTCCCTCCTAGCTTGCTATCAGAACATCTCTCAGAATGAGGAAACAAAACAGACTGGGCCTGAAGAGGCCTGGATGGAAGGCTGGGAGGGCAGAGAATAGAGTGGCCCCCACTGGCCTTGACCCCTCCCAGACAGGGAAGAGTAAGAGGGACACAGGAAGGCAGGAAGGCCTGGAGAACTGAGAAAAACAAAGAGAGACAGAGACTGGGTGAGATCAGGCCAGCAGGAGAGGACAGTTAGGGGTGATCAGGCAGGCAGAGACAGTTGGGGGTGAGATTAGGCCGGCAGGGGAGGGTAGTTAGGGAGGATCAGGCAGGCAGGCAGAGGCAGTTAAGAGACTATCAAGCAGGCAAGCAGACGAATGTTTAGGAGCCAGCAGTCACAGATTGCAAGAGGGATGTCCTAAACCAGCAGTCGGACATCCCCAAGGGTTCCCCGATTGGAGATGGTGCAGGCTGGGCTGAGGGAACCCCTCTCACCGATGTGCATGATTTTGAGCACTGGGCCACTAGTCTCTATATATAAAACCCTAAGCAGCAAGATGACATGACAACTGGCTGGTAGCTATGATGCACACTGACCTCCAGGGGGCAGACACTCAATGCAGGAGCTGCCCTCTGCTGGTCAGTGCACTCCCACAGTGGGATGCTGTTCAACCCCAGGCTCACAGCTGGTGAATGCAACTGCAGCTGAGTGAGCCTCTCCCCTAGATACTCCCCCTGCGTGCCTCTCATCCTTGACAAGCTGGCAGGAAAGGCCAGACTACGGAACAGAGGTTCATTGATCCCTGCAGGCCAGGCCGAGGGACACAACCAGTGTATGAATCTGTGCACTAGGTCTCTAGTAGTTAATAATACTATACTGCATATTGGAAATTTTCTAAGAGAGTGGATCTTAAAAGTTCTTACCACAAGAAAAAAAAAATTGTAACTGTGTAGTGATAGATGTTAACTAAACTTACTGTGCTGATCATTTTATAACATATACAAATATTAAGTCATTATGTTGTGCACCTGAAACATATTAATTATATAACATAAAATACAGTGTTATATGTCAATTATATACCAATAAAAATAGGTAAATCCCTTTTATGGTTATTCCCAGAAATAAGGGTGTCTTACATTAATAATTTATATTGAGATGTCTTATGATAAGAATTATATAATTTATTTTTTTATTTCAACTTAGTTGATAAGAAGTTCAGTGAGGAATTAAATGCTTAATTACAGTGATTTTTATTAATCTAATTGTTCAGTATACTTTCTTAAAACTTCCAATGTTTCTATATACATTTAACTTCAACTTTCATGTAAATTCTCTTATTACAGATGTGGTTTTAAAACTAAATCACTTAATATGTTTTAAACTGATAGGAAATAAATTAATGCATTTCTACTATTATTGACTTAAGTTCTCCCAATCATCCATATCTTTTTGTTACTGTTTTTTTAAATAAAAAATATTCCTCATTTTATTGTGGTTGATTCAGGAAGTTGTTAAGGATTGAGCAATAAAAACTCAGAATGGCTGTCATCAGGGTGACTGCACAGCAATGTGATTGACAGAGTCCTGGAAGTTAAGAGAGAACAAAGATTATGCTGTTTGATCAATATCTTCAGGAGACTTCTGGGGGTAGTTTTGCCCTTTTTATGAAATTGCAGAGCCATACTACAGCATTCCTCTAACATCATTTAGTTGCTGTCTAGTAAAGCATTTTTATGTATCTTCTCTCATACAACCTTCCCCCTAATACTACATGCCTCATGTCATCTTTAAGACTGAGGATTGGACCTAGAAAGTATCGGAGAACCCATCTAATGTCAATCAAGCAAGAAGCAAAACTGGCATTGAAACTTGGTCGTAAGATACGAAATCCACAATTGTGCCTCACTGACCTTGCTGACAACATTTCCTCACTTGATGCCATGTAGTAGGTGCAAATAGCCTCATTTGTCACAGCCTCTTGGCTCTGCCATTTGTTTAAATGGAAAATACTTGCTAGATAATAATTAAGTAAAAGGTATGTGTAAGAAAACAAAGAAAAAAAATGTTAGTTTTAACAACAATCTAGGGTTTGACAAAGTGCTGATTGATGCTCTCTTTGGTCCTAAATATATTTGGGTTGGTTTTGAAATGAGAAATAGGGATGACTTTAACATAAAGGAATTTTCTTAAAATTCCAACTCATTGGCTAAAGAAAGCATCTTATTTTAATAGGAATAAAGTCCACATGAATATTACACACAGGTAAGTTTTCATAAAAAAGCTACATTCTTCCCAGTCATGAGTGATGTTCTGAGCTGGGAATTAAATGACATTCACCACCAGTTAACACTGGAAAACCAAACTGAACAAATAAATAACAATAGCAAGCAGTCAATTAAACTATTGTGTATTCCATATTTTATCAAACATACACCCTGTTCTTTAATTCCTTAATTGTTCCTTCCTTTGATGATTAGACACCCAACTGGGGATCAGGTGGTACTACATTGACCTTTTCAGGTTACTGTTATTAAAACTCATGTGAAACTATTGAAGTTAAATTTCTTCCTCGCTCTTTGTTACATGTACATGTACACACATACACCCACATGCAGTATCAAACAAATATTCATGTTTGTAATGGGATGTGGTGAGTACTTGATAGATAATTTTTATGATACAAGATGGATGAGACTGCCCTTTATCTCAGTGGTTCTCACCTTAGCTACCCAAATGGTATCCACATTGACCATTGGCCACTATGTGAATAGGAGGAATAGGTTTTTATACAAACGACAAAAGCTCAGGGCAGAGCCACTGTGGGGATGTCATGATAGACCACAAACTGCTGGAGACCAGCAACATATCTCACACTTGCTCTTTATCCTTCACTTTCTGTAGCACAGTGGAGAGCACCTAGAAGATGCCCCCAAGAGACTTCCTTATTGGTGGAGTGGAAAAAAAAAAAAGTCTACTTCTCTTATTGCCTGGGAACTGAATAGAAGCCAGGAAAAGAAAAGAAATATTCTCTCTTACCATTCCCTTCCATCTTTTTTTTTTTCTTCTTCTTTTTTTTTCTTCCTCATTTAGCATATACAGGTGGCCCCTGCTCTTCAAAAGCTTGTTTCATCGCTTCATTTTTACAAAAGACCTATATTAGTATCTACTTTTGTTAATTGAAAGAAATCCAGCTGAAACCAGTTTGGCTCAATGGATAGAGCGTCGGCTTGGGGACTGAAGGGACCCGGGTTTGATTCTGGTCAAGAGCATGTACCTTGGTTGCGGGCATATCCCCAGTGGGGGGTGTGCAAGAGGCAGCTGATCGATGACTCTTTCTCATCAATGTTTCTAGCTCTCTATATTTCTCCCTTCCTCTCTGTCAAAATCAATAAAATACATTAAAAAAAAAAAGAAAAAAAGAAAAGAAATCCAAAGAGGATTTTCACTTTTGGGGGAAAAAGGTGAAAACTGAAAATAACCTTCAGCATTTGTCTTGCAGCAGGCATTGTAGGCAGGTTCACCCCATGCAGTGAGAGTGGCACCAGGAGGCCCCTTCCCCGGGCACCACATGCAACATCTGAGCATCAAGCCCCCATGGCTTTGAACTGTGTCTGTGAGTATCTGTGATTTATCTCAATTTGTTTTGTGCACGTGCTAGCAAGATGTGTTCTAAAGTATCAGAAATATATGACTTTAATCTTAAAGGGCATGTAGGTGGAGGGCAGGTTTGCAGGAAGTTTTGAGTGCCTACAAAGACTGTATGATAGAAAAATGCATGAGGCTAAGATTGGCCTTCCAACCAATCACAGCAAAGAACCTTGACCTTCCATATTGAGGCAAACAGACATTAAAGAAGGTGTAGATGTTAATGACCTGCTTGCCTTGATGGATTCAGATGATGGTAAGGTATTAATAGATCATCTCTCCCTCTCTCTTATACCCCAGTCTCCTGTAACTCCCATCATGGCAACCTCAGACAACTCAGCTTGACACACCATCATCACCACTTCTCATCCTACCAGTGTGCTCACTGTCTTCCGGATTCTGGTAAGTGAAACTGCACTGTACATACATTATTTCCACTCTTTACAACCTGTGTTCTTTTCATATTCCAGCTTTTCTATATGTTAGTGTTATTTTCAGTTTTATGTGTTTGTTTGTTTTTGTATAATTTGCTAGGTTACTTTTGGGGTCTGGGAATGGGTGAACATTTTTCTATATAAATTAATGGTAATTACTTCTTTTTGACATTTTGACTTTCAAAATTTTTCACAGGAATACCATTTTCAGATGGGGGAAAACCTGTATTATTAATTATTATAATGAATATTTGCATTGGAATATACTGTCTTTTATACCACTGTTTTAATTTACCACTATTTTGTATTTATTCTGTATGTAATTATAGCACACATTCTATCCAACATATTCATAAGATACTTATGTGTCCATAAGACATCTATCTATCTAGGTAAATAGATAGATAGATATTTAATATTTAACTTAGAAATAAACCTTCTGTAACATAAAAAATTTAATATAATGCCCCAGTCCAGTGACAATAAAGTGTATAGCAGAGCCAATTTGTTTTCAATGTCAACCTCCTCTCCTCTCTCCTTAGTGAATGTGAAAACTTTGATAATGAAAATGGTGAAACAAACCCCTGCTCATGTCCACTGGCCAATAAGAAGACCCATGGTCTGAATATATGAACTAAACACAGGAAGTTTGGCATTTGTTTTGTAATAAGGATATTGAAACCATATGTATATATTTTTTCATTTTTTTATTTTGGATCATTAGAAATTTAAACAATGTTTACATACAAGATTCCAGTTCATATGACACTCTACTGTCAGAGAGCCCACCTGTACACACACAGATCCTGTTGTGGGCCCCACACAGCAGTCTTGAGCTTTGGCTTTTCAAAAATTAATTAATTAATTAATTAATTAATTAATTAATTTTTATTAACTTCAGAGAGGAAAAGAGAGGGAAAGGGAGACAGAGACATCAATGATGAGAGAGAATCATTGATTGGCTGCCTCCTGTACCGTGGATTGTGCTTACAACCTGTGTATGTGTCCTGACCAAAAATTGAACTGTGACCTCCTGGTTCGTAGGTAGATTGATGCTCAACCACTGAGCCACTCCAGCTGAGCTGGGCTTCAGCTTTTATAAATAAAATTAACAAACATTTCATGGAAACCAGCTTCAACAGAGAACTTGATCAAATACAGGAAATTTTTTGTTGTTGATTGTTTTTAATTTTCCAACTGATAACTGTTGATAGAACCAGACAGTTATTAACTATTCATCTCATCTACCAAATCATCAATACTAATAAAGGGGTAATATGCTAATTAGACCAGGAGACCTCTGGGAGACTGGCCGGGAAGGGCAGTTGGGGGTCATGGGGCTATCAGGCGAGGGCAGTTGGGGGCCCTGAGGCCATCCAGGGAGGGCAGTTGAGGGCGAGAAGACTGGGGGAAGGAAATTGGGGGCAAGCAAGCTGGCAGGCAGAGTGGTTAGTAGCGATCAGGCAGGCAGACAGGTGAATGATTAGGAGCCAGTGGTCCCAGATTGCAAGAGGGATGTCCCCCGGGGGTCCCAGCTTGTAGAGGGTGCAGGCCAGGCTGAGGGACACCCACCCCCTCAAAGCACATACATGAATTTCATGTTTCAGGCCACTAGTATAGACACTAATCTCTTGTATTTATTTTATTTTTTAATTTAAATATTTTATTTAAAAATTTTGGATTCTCTCAAATGCCCAATTATTTATTCCCTTCAAACATTGTGCTTTAACATGGGAGCCACAAATATTGTGGCTGAAATTTGTAGAGAGAGGGATCACAGAATCGAATCCATTGGGCATTGTTTCTTTGCTGGTAGAACAAGGAAATGCACTGAAAAGAAATTATTTAGACCACTGAACCCATATCCTTTTATCACAACCACTCTGTGGGCCAGCCTCTTCCACAGTGGCTTGAGAAACATAGAAAGTTTCTATTCTGTGTTTTTAATTTTCTAACCCATCAAAGGGTTAGAAATCTTAACAAATTTATTGTGCATTTATGAGGCTCAATTCCAATGCACTTAAACTCTATCATAATTCCCCATGGAATTAATTACCGTATATGCATATGAAATCTTATTATGCTTTCTAATGTATGTAACTTTGTGAGCAAGTTTGCATTGGAAGATAATAATAAACATGCCAAATATGACAATAATTTTTATAATAATATTAGTGTATTTACTCTGAATATTTACAAGCACTCCTCTGGAAAAAATAGGGATAATTATTATTAATAATATTAAATTATATGTAAGTATATCATGTATTGTTGGTTATGATTTGTATGTTTCTTAAAGCTCCTAGTCGATTAGAAAAAAAAATTTAATCTTATTTCAGAGAGGGAGAGGGAGAGAGAGATAGAAACATCAATGATGACAGAGAATATCCTACTGGGGATAGAGCCCACAACCCAGACATGTGCCCTTGACTGGAATCAAACCAGAGATGCTTCAGTCTGCAGGCTAACGCTCTATCTATTGAGCCAAATTGGGTACGGCTTCTAGATTTTGATGGTCAGGTAAAATAGAGTATGCTCAGTTAAATTTGAATTTCAGATAATTGCATAAGTATATCCCCCCAAAATGTGCAAGATATATCAAACAATAATTTACTAAATTCTGATTTCATCTGCATATTGTATTTTTATTTGATAAATCTGGCAACTCTAAGCACATTGTATCTCCAGCCTTCATAGTTCACGCTTCTCTTTTTCTGATAGTTGACTGACCTGCATTGTACTCTGCCAATAGTATGACATCTTAGCTCCTAAATGGACAATAATGTTTTTCATGTTTGGTTCAAAGTTGTAAACCTTTATTTTATTTTATTTTATTTTATTTTATTTTATTTTCATCCCGACCCAAGGACATGTTCATTGATTTTAGAGAGAAGAAGGGAGATGGGGGAGAGAGAGAGAGAGAGAGAGAGAGAGAGAGAGAGAGAGAGAGAGAGAGAGGAGAAACATTTATTGGTTGCCTCTCTTACAGACCCTGACTGTGAATCAAACCTGTGACCTTTCAGTGTGTGGGGCAACACTCCAACCAAGCCACTTGGCCAGGGTCAAAGCTGTTCACATATATTTTATAGACATATATTCTTAGGCACTATTTTAGAGAATATGGATTGTGTTTGATAACATGGAAACTGATTAAAGTGTACCTTTTCAGTCATATGATTGCTCTATAGGAAAATAAAGATAGTAAGTATCATAAAAAAGAGGAGCAAACCATAAGTTTGGAATTCTAGTTTCAACTCTGAATCAATCTCTGAATCTATATATTATCATTTGTGTGATATGAGTCTAGATATACTCATATCACACAAATGATAATATATAGACTGTCACAAATTCACTGCATTAGTGATCCAAATTATTTTCTCCTTCGTGTATACACACCTTGCGATATACAAAGTATGTAGTCTATTTCTGTCCCTATTGATTCCTCATGTGGCCATGGGACCAATTTTTGCCACTGATATGTTAGCAGGTAGGACATACACACAGAGTCTTAAAAACCAACTGCACTTGAATGTTTCTCCTTCCACAGGTGCATGTCTGCCTTCGCCATGAGAATATGCCCGGGCTAGCCTGAGAAGGGATGGGAGAGTGAGGTGGAGAAGAGCAGTTAGCCTCGTGCATATCTGTTTGTCACCCAGAAGAGGGAATAAATAGATTCAAGGATTTTATTTTTCTCTGACAATCATTACTCATCATTTGTATGTAGATACCGGCAAGGTTTCAAGTAAACATATTCACACATGCATATTGGAGTCTTAACCTACATCTGATCTGGCCCTAGAAATCTGCACATACCAAGGAGTTGGGGATACACTTTATTTTTCATACTGCATCATCCCTTCCAAATTTAAAGAAAATAAAGAAATGGGGAACTATAGGATAAAAAGCAAATAAAAATAAAGGGTGAGTGCTGGCCCATGTGGTAATTATTCCATGGGACATGTGAAGATATTTTGTTATATGGCCATGACTTTGGCTGAGAATGGAAATGAACACTGCATGGAGCTTATTTCATGCATGATTATCTCTGTCTGACTTTTTCTTTATGGACATTGAAGAACAGAACAGGAACATATGAGTGCCTTTCTGTTTGGAACTGTCTTGGCAAAATATTGAATAGTTGTCTCAGCTCCACATATTTGTGCACTGAACTTTTTTTCTGACTTATAACTGAAAGACCTGTTTTTGTTATTTATAAAGAGGGAATCATCCAGGTCAGACAAAGCTTAGGGCTGATAGCTCTTCTTGTTGGCTGTGAGAGAAGGAAGAAAAGTAAGGATTTAAGAAGTCTCATTTCAGGACTAAACCTTTACCAGGTCTCCATATACTCCTGTAGAGCAGGTAAACTGAGCCCTTCCAAAGGGTAACTTGTGTTTAAGCTGGGCTTAAATAAAACACAGAAAGTATCATGGCCCAACTTTCTAATTAGACTTGGACAAGGGTAGAACAGTATGTACTCAGAAACTAGTAAAAATACTACTACTACTAATTTCACATTGCTAAGCAACCCTAGTCTAAACACCAGGAGAACTCAGAATAATGAAAGTAGATGAAAGGAGTGCATTTTCTTCAAAGTTTCTAACTCTGGAAAAAATTCCTAGAAATAATAGGTATGTTGTGAAAAAAGATCTTGTTGACAACACAACAATTCATTCACTTCCTAAAGTATGACTAGTCATATACTGTACTTCAGGACAAACAATAAGGCTATTGTTTGAATGGAAAAACAGCCAATTTGTTGGAAGGGGGAAAGGTAAAAATATTCTATAAGCTTATTTTGTTTTGTTTGGCCACACATCTTTTTTTTTTTTTCCTCACCAGAGGATATTTTTTTCCATAGATTTTTAGAGAGAGTGGAAAAGAGGGAGGGAGAAAAAAAAACAAAAAACACATCAAAGTGAAAAAGACACATTGATGGTTGCCTCCTGCATGCCCTGACCAGAGCTA